ACGGACCGTGAGATCGAGCCCAGAGCCTGATGCGGGGCTCGAACTCACGGACCGCGAGATCGTGACCTGGCTGAAGTCGGACGCTTAACCGACTGCGCCACCCAGGCTCCCCACCTGATAAAATATTTTAGAAGGAACGCAGCGTGGGAAACAAAAAGAAGTATGCGTGAGGGTCCTTGCTAACGAATTTCCAAGAGTGGGCTTTAATCTCTGGACTGAGCACTTTGGTGGCTCAGATACGGTCGCTGGGGATTGTCAAAATCTCCGCCTGGGACGGTCCATTTAGAATCACCAGGAGCGTTTCACTCCAGTCCTGCTGAAGCAGCATCGCTGCGTCTGGAGGAACGCAGGAGTTCCCGATTTTAACAAGGCCCTCCACCCATTAGTAGGCATTATGTCAACACTAAGAAAATACATATTCTATGTAACATATTCTCCTTTTATCTCGCTCTGTGTGTTTCTTTATGAAGCAACCGAGTAGAACATTTTCCTGTACGGCACAGTCAAGTTCACATTCAAGAACCCTCCTCCAATTTAGTGTTTGTTTTTTTGAGTCCTGAAGTTGCTTTTCATAAGGGAGTAGTAATGCTAGCCTTTTGAGCTTGTTTATTTTTTCAATGATGCTTTGATTTCACAGGCTGTGTTTATATTGCCCTTGGTGTCCTCCCAGAGCATTTTAGTGCCAATAAGAAAACGTCTCTGCTTCTCTCCTTACTTACCCTTTCCATTTTTAAATTTTTATTTTTATTAATTTTTATTTTATTCAGAGAGAGGAGGAGAGGGGAAAAGGGGGAGAGAGTCTTAAGCAGGCTCCATACTCAGCATGGAGCTGGATCCCATGACCCTGGGATCATGACCTAAGCTGAAACCAAGAGTCAGATGCTCAACCAACTGAGCCACCCAAGTGCCTACTCATTCCATTTTCTGAGCACAATGTCCTAGGATGTCCCCAACATTAAGCATCTGAAACCAAGAGCCACAGAAAGGTGCACGAGATCCTGGCTAGCCTCCAAGAGCAACAGAAGAAAGTCAAAAGGAAACATCCAGGGAAAAAGGATCTTCCCCAAGAACACTTTGAGGACGCTGGCAGGCTACAGAAGTCCATTTCGGTAACAATGAAAAACTAGTGTGATTCTTTCTAGATGTGTTGCATTAATGGATATTCATAGGAGGGGGATGGGCACGATCTCCCTGCTTAAGTTCCTGGAGGGGTAGGGATTTAAAATGAGCACCTTTGAAGAATTGGAAATGCCTTGAACAAGAGCTCTATTCTTATGAGTTGTATATAACACCCAAGATAAAATACAGGTGTAAGCCTTACTAATATCAACAGTAAGTTTAAATTCTACTTAATTCCAATAAGTTTTTAATGTTTATTTATTTTGAGAAAGACACAGGGAGACAGAGAATCTCAAGCAGGCTCTGCGCTCTCAGAGCAGAGCCTAGCACGGGACTCGAACCCATGAACTGGGAGATCACGACCTGAGCCAGAATCAAGAGTCGGATGTTTAACCAACTGAGCCTCCCAGGTGCCCCTCCAATGTTGTTTTTTTTTTTTTTTTTTTTTTTTTGATGTGTGTGTGTCAAAGGTTGTCAACCAATTGAGTCCACAGAGTGCCCAGGCTCCCCACCAGGGAAAGTCAATAGCACTAGATAGCCTGAGACCCAACGCCCTTCTGTCTGCACTACCCAGTGGGTCCGTAACTTTGCCAAGAAGCTGCACCCATCTGATTCACACTGACCTTCCACATATGATTTCAATCAATAAGAGCATCCTGCTCCTTTAAATTTTCTATTAAATGTTTGTGCCTAAAATACAGTATCTGGGACCGAAGAAAAGGAATTACCCTCCCAAGAATCAAATAGCTCACTAATGGCAAATGTAGGGTATAGTCCCTTCCTGTTCTGCTGTAACAAGTTACAGCTACCCTAGTGATTAAAAAAAAAAACCTCAAATGCATTACCTCACAACTCTAGAGGTCAGAAGTCCAAATGGGTTCCACTGCAGTAAAATCAAGGTGCTGGCAAACTGCATTTCTTCTGGAAGCTCTAGGGGAGAACCTGTTTCCTTGCCTTTTCCCACTTGTAGGGGCCACCCATGTTTTTTGGCTTGCGACTCCAGGCAGCAACCACAACCCTGCTTCAACTTCTTCCTTCTTCATATCTCCTTCCCTGGCTCTGACCCTCCTACCTCCCCGCCCCTTATAAAGACAGTTGTGATTATACTGGGCCCACCTGGGTAACCCAGGCGTCTCTTCCCATCTCACAACCCTTTATCACCTATGCAAAGACGCTTTTGCCACATGAGGTAACATTCACAGGTTTGGGGAACTGAACATCTTCGGGCGACCATTATTCTGCCTACCTCACGGGACCAGGACTCAGGTGTGTTGACTTCTGGCCCAGGGACCCCCACAGATCTCGGGTCCTCACTGCCCCAACCATCTGCTTGGGCCCCTCAGAGTCCACGTCATCTCTGAGACAGCAGAGACAGCAGCTGGGTTACACAGAGCAGAGGATTTCCTCTTGAAGTGGTGGTTTACCATTGTGCACACGCCATATATCCCTGGTACCACATACCCCCCACCATATTCCCTAACTCCGCAGAAAGAAGGGGGGTGCCCCTTGGATCAAGATGTATCTTGGTGGTTCACTGAAAAGGGTTGGGGATCACACTCCTCCTCCAGGACTGACGATAGTTCTGCTTCACTTCTGGTGTAGCTCGTGGGAGCCTGAGTACGATGGAATGAAACCCCTCGGTGTCTACAAGTCCCCGGGAGCAACCCCGGGACTAATGCAACTGTGTACTGCCCATATTGATCAGAAACCAACAGACAAGGGAATTAGGAGGAGAAGCAGGCTGAACTGACAGCATGGGGAGGTCCATGTGAGGCCAGGACAAGAGAGGCAGTGTCCACAGGGACGGGGGCGGGCTGGCACCTGTCTCACTCAGAACCCCTTAGCCAAGAAGTCTTGACTAGAGAAGAAACAGAAGGGCACTATGACCAGAAAACACACACCAGGCATCCTGCGAGCCTCAGGGGTCTTGTCCGGGGCTCCTCCCCCTTCTTCTGCAGGAGTGACAGAATCCCAGTGATGTTACATCTTTGCTCCTAGACAAGCTGCGGACCTCAGAGAGGAGGAGCCAGGCAGCAGAAGGAGACAGAAGGGCGTTAGCTATGACCAGGGATCCAAACCTCACCCCCAGCGCCCCAGCATCAAGCAAACTAAGAGTAGTAACCATGGAGCCAAAGGCCAGATTTTCCTGATAGTGTGGCGTCTTCCGAGAAATCCAGCTGAGAAAGGTTTAATGGCAACCTGAAGTGAATGATGCAGATTCTCCAAGTGAAGATAGACGATCTTCTAATCTAGGAGGGGGATAATAATCAACTGAAAGGTCCTCCTCGGTAATACTCAGGATCAAAAAGAATAAAATCTTGCCATTTGCAACAGCGTGGATGGAACTAGATGGTATTATGCTGAGTGAAATAAGTCAGTCAGAGAAAGATAAATATATGTTTTCACTCATATGTGGAATTTAAGAAGCAAAACAGATGAACACAGGGGAAGGGAAAGAAAAATAAGAAAATCAGAGGGAGGCAAAGCATGAGAGACTCTTAAATACAGAGAATAAACTGAAGGTTGCTGGAGGGGTTTGGGGCTAAATGGACGATGGGCATTAAGGAGGGCACTTGTTGGGATGAGCACCGGGTTATATGTAAGTGACGAATCACTAAATTCTACTCCCGATATCATTATTACACTATATGTTAACTAACTTGGATTTAAATAAAAGTTAAAAATTAAAACAGCAGAAAAAAGAAAAGTCCTTCTCCTTACACGGGCTGGCTTCACAAACGTGTAATGGGGGCAGTCCCCCAGGGCCCACGCTCAGAAGGACCTCACGTTTGCTGTAACACTCTGCTTCCCCTTATCTCCCATCGGGCCCTGCAAATCAGGTAGCTGGTCCCACAGGCATGTCATACTTGTGTCTGTGTAGGACTAAGGGTTAAGGCAGCAACTAAATGCTCGGGGTCTCAACTTACAAGGCAGATGCCTGATCTGTTCACTACATCAGACAAAACTCGGCAGAGAATTCTCCCGCCTCCCTCCCAGCCCCCCAGCACACGCACAAGCACAACCCCGGGCTTCCCCCTTGCACAACTGCCAGTCCCAAACTGTAGCTCCATCACATCCGGGCGGGACCACGCCATCAGTTGGAGAAGCTACAGAGTATTCCATTGCATTTCAGGGAAATAAATTAGGACTCAGCAGACAGGCTTATATGCATTTTTACCACGGTTCAGTGAATGCAAGAGAAAACCTCAAAATGAGAGTGAACAAGTGTAAGTTACGTTCTTTAACAGACTCAACGACCACCATCAGAATAAAACAGAAAAGTCAAAAAGGAAAGGGAAATGACACTACACAAGAAGATGAAAAACTGCCTTGTAAGGTGGCTGTTCAAGTGAGGGTTAAGGAGGTTTCAGTGAGGTCTCATTAAGCAGAGCCTCTAGGACATTTCCTGCACATAATCCTCCTCTTCTCCTCAAAAACCCTCTTTTGTACACTCTTCTAGTCTTGCCCAGTAAGTTACAACCTTAAGTGGCATCGACCCCTCTGTTTACTTCAATGTCCCAAATCCATACGTTGGAGTCCTAACTCCCAGTGCTTCACAATGTGACTGTATTTGGAGACAGAGCTTTAATGAGGTAATTATGATAAAATGAGGCCATATGGCGGCCCCTACTCCAACATGATTGGTGTCCTTACAAGAACAGGAGATTTGGACATAGACGGGTACAGAGGGAAGGCCATGTGAGGATACAGGGAGAAGCTGTCTAAAGCCAAGGAGAAAAAGAGTCCTGAGTTTTATTTATTTATTTATTTATTTATTTATTTATTTATTTATTTTTGAGAGAGAGAAAGAGGCAGAGAGAGAGGGAGAGAGAGAATCCCAAGCAGGCTCCACACTGTCAGCACGGAGCCTGATGTGGGGCTCTAACTCACAAACTGTGAGATCATGACCTGAGCCAAAACCAAGAGTTGGATGCGTAACTGACTGAGCCACCCAGGTGCCCCCCAAAAAAGAGTCCTCAGAAGACACAAAACCTGCCAACACTTTGACCTTGGACTTCCAGCCTTCGGAATTGTGGGAAAATAAACTTCTGTTGGTTAAGACACCCAGTGTGAGGTACTTTGTTACGGCAGCCTGAGTGGAATAATGCAGCTAACATCCTCAGAATTCTGGTTCTTGCACAGAGGCAAGCCTGGGCCTCCCACTGAAAAGTCTTTTATCAGAAGACACCTGAAAGAGGCATCTCTTCAGGAATCTGGTGCTTAGAAGCTTTCCACAGGCATTCAGCAAGGTGTCTCTTCTGGGGATTCGCTGCCTGTGTGTAGACAGAAGCCACTGTACTCTGTGGAAAGAAGGAGGGTATATATTTGGGTGTCATCAGTCACTCAGGCCAGCCCAACGTACCAAACTGCTCACATACTTCTGGGCCCTGTTCCAACCTCAAGAAAAGGCTTTTCTTAGTTGTTTTCTTAGTCCTTGCCCTGAGCAGCAAAGCCCACGCAAAGTCGGTCTTCTGCCCAATGTCCAGGCTGAATTAGCACCCCAAGTTCGCATAAACTGCTGGTCTACTTGTATTCCCTAAGGAAGTTCCAAGCCAAGAGTTGGAGATAGAGGATGTGTCTTACCATCTGGGTATTTCTAATTCCTGGAAGAATTATGTGGTGTCATGCAATTGGGCTCAAGGTAGGACTGACCAGAAGACCTTATTAGATCATTCCTAATAACATTTCCACAGAGTTCTCGCATTGCCAACACTGTGTTAAGCACATCACATACATTTTTTTTCTCCCAAGAAAGATTTCTGTAACACAGAGGACCCAGACTGCATCGAGAAAAGCAGCAAGAATCAGGTCCATGTCAGGGAAAGAGCTTTGCCAGGTGATCAAATGCTTTTTCCATCACATATCAACTGCTTCTCACTGGATATGCACCTGTGTACCTGGACCATCAGGTACATAGTAACTCCTATTTCCTGAACCCACCCTCTCTAACATGTATTATTCAAGAGTAATAGTTTTTAATGAATTTAATTACTTATACCCTGTCTTGTGAAAAGTATTTAAGACAACTCCTAGATGGATATATTGCATATGGCAGGATAGCATTCACTGATTCAGTATGCACTGAGTACGTCCTATGTCCCAGGCACTGTGCCAGGTCTGGAGAAACAGCAAGAAACAAAGACATGAAGTCTTTTTATCTATGCACCTACACAATTTCTGGAGCTCCTCATGTCTTCATGTGGATTCAAGTTACTACCTGGTGTAATTTAATTCTAGCCTAAAAAACATCATTTACTTACTCATACAGGGAATATCTGTTAGCAACACATTCCATCAGGGTCTTTGGGTAATATCCAGGGATATGTTTATTTCACCTTCATTTTCATTAATAGTTTTGCCAGATAAAGAGATCTTGGCTTGCATCTGTTTTCTGTTTGAGTATTCTGAAGCTTTCCCTCCAGGGCCTCCGGTCTCCTTTGAATGAGAAGTCAGCCATTCATAGTTTTGTACTGTATTTGATGAGTTGTTTTCCTCTTGCTGTCTTCAGGATTACTTCGTTTTTGTCTTTTTTTACAAGTTTATTTATTTTGACAGAGAGAGAGAGAGAGAGAGAGAGAGAGAGAGAGAGAGAGAGAGAGAAAACCAGCAGGGGAGGGGCAGAGAGAGAGAGGGACAGAGGATCTGAAGCAGGCTCTGTGCTGACAGCAGTGAGCCCGATGTGGGGCTTGAACTTATGAACCATGAGATCATGACCTGAGCCAAAGTCAGACATTTAACCAACTGAGCCACCCAGGCACCCCTCTGTCTTTGCCTTTAAGCGGTTTGTTTATAATGTGTCTAGGTGTATTTTGTATTTATGATATGGGAATTCATTGAGCTTTGGGGCCTGTGGGTTAATGCTATTCATCAGTCATTATTTATTCAGACTGAAGGGAATCTTCAGTCATTATTTATTCAGATATTTTCCACTCTTTTCTCATCTCTTTCTGAGACTCCCATTACATGTATTTTGGTGTGCTTAATATTGTCCCATGTCTCTAAAGCTCTGTTTTTCTTCTATCTTTTTTCTCTGTTTTGCAGATTATATCCTTTCTACTGCTTTATCTTCAGGTTCACTGATTCTATCTTCTGCCATCCCACATCTGCTCCTGGGCCCACTAGTGAATTTTTCGTTTTGATTATTAGTACTTTTCAGTAATCCAGTATTTCTGTGTGGTTCTCTTTTATAGTTTTTATTTCCCTGTTGAGATTCCATATTTGTTTAGTATCAGATTTTCCTTTAATTTTTAAAATATGGCTTCCTTTAGTTTCTCGAACCTATTTTAAATAGCTGTTTTGAAGTCTTCATCTGCTAAATTCAACATCTGGTCCCACTCAGAGTCAATTCCTATTCACTGCTTTTTTTTTTCTGAGTATGAGTCACACTTTGCTATGTGTTTGCACGTCTTATAATTTTCTTCCTTCCTTTTTTTTTTTTTTTTTTTTTGGTGAAAACTGAAAGTTTCAGGTAATATTTGTTTTAGGTAATATTTTAGTAACTCTGGGTTCTGATTTCTTTTCCTGAGGGTTTCATTTTATCATTTGACACTAATCTGCACTTGAATGGCAGAACCTCTCTTCCCCACATTTGTGTAGCTACTGATATGTGTGTGTGTGTGTGTGTGTGTGTGTGTGTGTGTGTATGTGTAGGTTTATTCTTATTATTTTTATTTCTTAGCCTTATTTCCTAGGGGTTGCCCTGTTTCTGTGTGGCCCAATGGTCAGCCAGTGAATTTGGGCAGAGGTTTTTCTCCAACACCACAGGATGAAGCTTCCATCCCGCACATAGATGCGTGTGAGGGTTGGGGATGGCGTCTGATGTTTAGCCAGTGCTAAATTGCTTTGGTTTTCACTTTCTGCTGGGCTGTCTAGGGTCTCTCATGCACATGCACGTAGGTTCCCAGGAAGTCAGGGATGTGTGAGAGCCCATCTCAGTCTTTCTAAGGCTCTCCCATTCCAAGATTTCCTGTTAAATTTATGGCTGGTCTGTTGCTTACCCCAACCAGGAGCAGATTCTCACACCTGCAGTGCAGTGACGTTTCCCCATTAGTTTCCTGCCAAGTCCTCTGTTATTGTCCACACTGCAGCCTTTCGCCCTCTGCCCAAAATTGATTTGCTCCCTTTGGCAGCAAACTTGTTTTTTAGTTTTATTTTTTCTGGTCACCCCTTGCTGATAAAGCTGGGGACAGAATTGGGGAGGAGGGCAGGGATAGTAGCAGAACAGACAAAAAGGCTACAGGCCCCGCCATTCCTTCCTGAAGCTCTAGCTATTTTTCACGAGTAAATGCTTCTCAATTTGTTATCTGCCTTTGGCCAATTTCCAGGGCCCAAAAATGACTGGGTTTTTGTTTGGTTTGGTTTGTTTTTTCCAGTTTTCAACTTGTTCTGTGGGGAGTGGGTCCTCTGGACCTTTTTATGCTGCCATAGCTGGAAGGTTGGCCTCCAAAGTGCTTTTTCTTAAACATTAAATGGGATAGAGCATAAATTTCCCAGTTGTCCACTTTCTCCACTGCCCCTATAGCCCTACACTTGTTTTGCTTCATTAATTTAAATTACCTGCCTGACCCTCGAAGGCATTTGAGCTTATGAATTATGGTGCACAAGGCTGACAGCTAGATAATGTCCTAAAAGTGTAATGGAATGTGCAAATAGTGCTAATCCTTCCACAAACATCTGCCTTACTAAAAGGCCTGTGTGCCAAATTCTCTGAGATAGAAACCCATTCAATAGGAAGTCCTCATCTTCAAAGGCCCTAAAACCCTGGGAGAAATGAGGAGCATGGATACAAAGAGGTAGCTCACAATGTAATGCCTGCAGTACACGATACACACGGGAATGTTCTCTGTAGGCTGGGAAAGACAAGAAATGATTTCCTGAGTTTATGACATACAGACCCTTTACATGGCTCAGAAGGTTTCTTTTCAATTACTAAATATTACCTAGGTATTTCTTTTTTTTTTTAATTATTGTTTTTAATGTTTTTATTTTTGAGAGAGAGAGAGAGAGAGAGAGAGAGAGAGAGAGAGAGAGAGAGAATGCAAGCAGGGGAGAGGCAGAGATAGGGGGTCAGAGGATCTGAAGCAGCTTCAGTGCTGAGAACAGAGAGCCCGATGCGGGACTCAAACTCCCAAACTGTGAGATCATGACCTGAGCCGAAGTTGGATGCTTAACCAACTGACTGAGCCCACCCAGCCTCCCCACTTAGGTTACTTTTACTTAGGTACTTGGAATTAACTTGCTTCAGCGTGGAATATTATGGAATGTTAGCAGTCTTGCTGTTGGTGATGGAAAGTGGAGGGTGAACAGAATCAAGAACCAGACGTAGACTCTAGTCCTACCTCTACAACTGCTTAGCTCCGAGACTCTGGGCACATCATCTACCATTTTAAGAAAGCAGCTCCTGCCTCTGTAGAAGGAGGAAGAGTTGGGGAAAAGGAAATTTGCAGTTCCAGTGTTGTGTGGAAGGTAGCCTTTTTCCTACAGTCTTGAGATGATCTTCTCTTTGTTCTCAGGTAGGTAAGGATTGGTCACCAGATTTGCCCAAAGCAATAATCCCCAGAATGATTAAGTAGGGCCCCTCAAGGTTTCTGAGTTTATTTTAGTAACATGTATTGAAAACCTGATGACAATTATGACATCTTTACTGGGGCTTGGGGGGAATGTTACTCATAAAAGCACAAAAGGTTGCACATAATCTCAGGGGACTGACACACCCCTAGAAACCCAAGTTAAAGACTCTTGAGAGAAAATGATGGAAAAGAGATCACAAAGAGCCTCAAATTCTTGGATTCAACTCTGGCTATTGTAAGCTTCTCATTCGTTTTAGAACAAAGTAAAACAAAAGTGAAGGTTCGAATTAAAAAGTAACCTAGAAAAGTCTGTTCTAGAAAAACGAAAATTGTTTATGGCTGAGAAAGGCAGACTAGAGAATAAGAAATCCTCTCTTAACAGACTCCCCAGGCCAAAGGAGGAATGGAAAATTAAAGACATTAATACTTCCCATAGCAAAAGAAGGAAAAACTGCAGGAAATGATTAGTAAGACTGCAACAGCAATTATAACCAAAGACAGGAAACTGAACCAGGGGGGCTTAGCTCATTAGTTAATTTGAATGCAAAACTACAGGGGAGTGTTTGGGCTTGGATGCCTCAAGAAGGCTTTCATCCTTCCATAGCAAGAGTACTCTGAGATCGTTTGAAGAGTCACAAGGCTCCATCATGCCTCTTCTTTTTGCCCTCCTCCTTTGGGAAAATGGAGAAATGATTCTGCCAGGTTAAGCGAGCATTTTTTTTTAAGTATCTTCCACTGTTTTCTTCTTCTTCTCCTTTTTTTAAATATTTATCTTTGAGAGAGAGAAGAAGAGAGAGAGAGAGATGGAGTGTCAGTGGGGGAGGGGCAGAGAGAGAGAGGGAGACACAGAATCCGAAGCAGGCTCCAGGCTCTGAGCTGTCCACAGAGAGCCTGATGCGGGGCTTGAACTCACGAGCCATGAGATCATGACCTGAGCCGAAGTCGGAGGTTTAATCAACTGAGCCACCCAGGTGCCCTAGGTGAGGATTTGTTGTTTGAACTTCTAGAACATTTTCGTTTGATGTTCATTTGGAAATCTAGACTAGATACTTTTACAGAGAACCTGCCCAAGACCTAGGGTAAAAACGTGTCTGATAGAGACCCACACTAAGGATAAAAGAGCCTGAGCCCAGGGGCCAGCAGGTTCCATGTTTGCTTTCACGTTTAATGATGTGTGCTGCCCAGAGCTGGTGTGTCAAAGGTCAGAGGTAGCCAAGTACCCAGGGCGGGGGCTGTCACAGTCACAGGCAATACTGTCATTATCTGCGTGCAGTACTACAGCTGCATTTAGGGGCTCCCTTGGTCACTTGGCAAGGGGTATGGCATCAGATGCAGAAGGACAGAACCCACAGCGCTTAAGGACTTTGGGAGAAAAACTAAAATACAACAGCCTGTGTGTTGGCACCCAGAGCTGTGCTTTTGCTATCTAGAAGGTCGTCGAAGCAAGCAGCACCTGAGCGCGGTCTGAATCTTCTGGTAGTGGTGGATAGTGCCACGCAGGAACGCTTCCAGAGAGTTCCCGTGTCATCTCTGTTCCGTCCCCCAGTAACACCATTTCTGGATCAGATACAGCAGATTGGTCCATTTTAGGCAGCTCACTTGGAAGTTTTAGCACCTCTACATGGATATTGTAGTTAAGACCACCAGTGTTCACAAAGTTTCCATCCATTTCATTTGTTTTGAGTTTTCCACCAGTCACTGATAGGAGAAGCAATGGTGAGGCTGAGCAAAGTCTACCTAAACACGGCCCTATCTTCTCTCGAATTCCACGTTTGCATATCCATCTGCCCACCCGAGCTCCACTTGAGTGTCTAATCAGGCATCACAAATTTAACAAATCTAAAACAGAACTATTTTTTTCATGTTTGCCTATTTATTTTTAAAGTGGGGCGAAGGGCAGAGAGAGAGGGAGAGAGTCAATGTCAAGCAGGCTCCACGCTGTCAGTGCAGAGCCTAATGCTGGGCTTGATCCCACCCACCATGAGATCACGACCTGAGCTGAAATCAAGACCCTCAACTGACTGAGCCACCCAGGTGCCCCCAAACAGAACTCTTGATTCTCTCCCCAAACCTGCTCCTTCTCCAAGTGTTCCTAAGGGAAAAACTTGGAAGTGCCCTTGATTCCTCTTACTGTCTCCCATGCCACATCCTATCCATGTTCCCTGACAAATTCTAGGCTCTACTTTTGGGGTCTGACCATCTTTCACGACCCCTTCTGCTACAGCAAAGTCCAGGCCACTGCTTCTCTCACCTGGAATAATGCAAGACCTCCCCTGGTCTACCTTGACTCTCTACACACTATTCTCCACATAGCGACAGTGATCCTTTGAATGCTAAGTTAGATCCTAACACCTCCTATTCAAAATCCTCCAAACATCCCATCTCTCTCTGAACTTAGTTGGTCCTTGCCATAGCCTGTGAGGCGGTGTTCCTAGCCGCCGTCCTGCCACCCTCTCCCTCAGCCCTTGCCCTCCAGGCTGCCAGCCTCCATGCTGTTGCCAGAGCACTCCAAGCTCACTCCTACCTCGGGACTTTTGCACATACTGTTTCCCCTGCCTGGAGAGCTCTTCCCAAATCCCTCAATACCTGCGAGGCTCACCTCCTCACCTTCCTTCGGGTCTCTGCTCAAACATCATCTCATCAGAGATGCCTTCCCTACCACGCTGCCTAAAATAATAACACATTTTTGTCTCTCCCTTAACCTTCTTTGTTTTTTTTTCATGGCAATATCATTACCTAACATTACTATATATCCTATGTTTTTAAAATTATTTATTTGAGTGAGAATTTTTGTCTTGTTTCCCCGCCATGTCCTAGGACCAAGAATGTGTCTGGCATAGAATAGACATTCAATAAATATTTTTTGAATTAATGTTACTGGGTATTCTGCCTAAGTGGCTGTATACTGGTAATACTCATTTTCTTTTATATAGTGAAATATCATACATACAAAAGTACATACAATGCATATGTATGATTTAAAAAATAAGTGGATACCCATGTATTACCAGGAAGTATATCAACAGTATCTTCTGAAGTACCAAAATAGATTTCAGACCAAGTCAAGTCCAAATTCTTTCACATTATGAGTCAGTTAGGACTCTCTTTGATGTAAATATCAGAAAAGCTAACTTAAACTGGCTTAGACAATAAGGAGATTTATCATGTAAAGCCTCATTAAGGAAGAAAAGAAAGAAAGAAGGAGAGAAAGAAAGAAAGAAAGAAAGAAAGAAAGAAAGAAAGAAAGAAAGAAAGAAAGAAAGAAAGATCCAGAGGTCAAGGGACCTTTAGGCAATGGTTAATCCAGTGCTTAGAAGATGTCATCAAACAGGGCACCTGGGTGGCTCAGTCGGTTAAGCCTCCAACTTCAGTTCAGGTCACGATCTTGCAGTTCATGAGTTCAAGCCCCATGTCGGGCTCTGTGCTGCCAGCTCGGAGCCTGGAGCCTGCTTCGGATTCTGTGTCTCCCTCTCTCTCTGCCCCTAACCCACTCACATTTTGTCTCTGTCTCTCTCAAAAATAAATAAACATTAAAAAAGAAGGTGGCACCAAAGAACTGTTTCAATCCTTCTCTCCATTCTGCCTTCATTGGGATCAACCTCATCCTAAAGCTAGCTCACTAATGGTGACAAGATAACTGCGGACAGATGCAGGCCATATGCTCTGTTCCATGTCTAAGAGAGAACAGGTATGCCTTTATCAAGGCATCATAAGCTAGAGATGCTGAGAACACTCTGATTGGACCTTCTTGGGTCCATATATCACCTCTGGACCAATCACATGCCTAGGGGAATGCAACGTGCTGACTGGCTTAGCTATGCTCAAGGGCTCCAACCTCGGAGCCCCAGGTAGAAACATGTGGATCCTCCAGCAGAAATCAGGGGCTGTTGGAAAGGCAGTAATGCAAGCTGGGGTGGTATTCATGAATGTCTACTGTACCGCTGTTCGCCAAAGAGCCCCTGACACCTGGAGTTCAGAGCCAATTGTATTTAGTTGTAGACATAGTCTAACAAGCTCGGCATCTGCTCTCACAGCCCACGGCAAGGGGCAGAGACTCAAAATAGATAGACTAGCGAAAACAGGCAGTGGCACCAAGTAGACACACGATCCCTAAGAACATGATCATTTAGCCCTAAGGGGAAAAAAACCACAGTGGCTCATTGGTGACAGGACTGGATTACACCTCCTAATGCAACGGTAATATTATGATGACCCTACATCCAGTGGACAATGGTTAGGAAGAAAAAGGGATGTTTAATGGATTTTGAAGAGATTCTATCAAAACAGCGACTATTATAAGGTAGACACTCTAAGAGATAAGTTTCAGTCCTCCCAAATGAAGCCAACCAAGTGAGCTGCTGTTAGCTGTAATCATCAAAATTATAGTGAGAGGAGAGCCATCTTTTCAATGGGTTTAGGGAATTTCTACCTATTCCAGGCCTGTTATTAAAAGGAAATCGTAGCAGTTTAATGAACAAAATGAGTGGTTGGGGTTTTGTTTTGTTGTTTTGCGGGGGGGGGGGGGTGTTATTGTTTTTGTTTTTCATAAAAAGAAAGTAGTCCTTTTCAAACTCAAAAGCTAAAAGGGGGAACTTAAGCTTTGGCTCACTATCTTTCCCACTTCTAGTAAGAAGTATGTTGGGGGCGGCTGGTGGTTCAGCCCATTAGACGTCCAGCTTTGGCACAGGTCATGATCTCACAGTTCATGAGTTCGAGCCACATACTGAGCTCGGCATTGGCAGTGTAGAGCCTGCTTGGGACTCTCTCTCTCTCTGCCCCATCCATGTGCTCTCTCTCTCTCTCTCTCTCAAATAAATAAATAAACTTTAAAAAATAATTTTAAAAAAGTTTGTTGGAGGTAGATATTTACTTTATACTTACTGGGAACCTGAATTTATTTTAGCTTGAATGCCCCTGACTGCATTTTGAGCAAGGAGGCAGTGGGAAGCATGGCCCACAGGTTTGCACATGGAGAAATCAAGACACGAACTAATGAAATAACTCACCTCTGGGGCTCTGTGGGTCCACTCGATGGCAGAACTTCCAATGTTGGTTCAACTCTTATTTGTGTGAGGCTGCTGATTTTGTTTTCAAGTACTAAAAATAAAAAAGAGAGGAATCAAGATCTGAGACTAAAGAGGAGCCAGGACTCTACATGGGGACTCTGCATAGGGGATTTTATTCCATTTGAAAACTCACTGCGACGTCCCACAGTCCATAATCACTTTTTTTCTTTAAATCTTTTACTTCTTCCATTAGGCAGACTTAATTAAGAGTAGAAATAGAGGCACATGGGTGGCTCAGTTGGTTCAGCGTCCGAATCATTGTTTCCTCTCAGGTCATGATCTCACAGTTCGTGGGTTTGAGCCCCACGTTGGGCAGTACAGAGCCTGCTTGGGATTCTCTCTCTCTCTCTCTCTCTCTCTCTCTCTCTCTCTCTGCCCAACCTGCTCATGCTCTCTCTTTCTTTCTTTCTCTCTCTCAAAATAAAATAAGTAAACTTAAAGAGAGTAGAAATAGCAGGCTGTTCCCCAAGTGATACAATCTGAGAGCCACTTGAGAAAGGTGTTCACTCTGCATTCTCCACCACCATTATGAAGTCCCACCAGTAGAGATTACTGGCACGGAGGTGGGAGGGACAAGGTATTTTTCCACTTTCAGGGGCCTCCTAATAAATGGTATATATTCCTGAGAGACCTGATAAGACCTCCAGCTGCAAGAAGCAAGCTGAGAAGGGTATGTGGAAGAGAAGTGAAGGGAGCAGAGTTAGACCAGCTGGTTACTTTTACCTTAATCCAGCCTTACCTACTATTGTCCTTAATCCCCCACCTTTCTGAGTCTCCCTAATCTGGAACCCTCCACCTAAACTGTCATTCCAGAGCACTGCAACCCTTGCCCTCCCTCTCTCCCAGGCCCTGTATGAGTCTGCTTGGAATGCCACAACAAGGTCCCACAGCCTGGGACGCTTAAGTAACAAAAATTCACTTCTCAGCATTGTGGAGACTGAAGTCTGAGATCAAGGTGCGGACGGGGCTGGTTCCTTCTGAGGCCTCTTTCCTCGGCCACCTTCTCTTCGTATCTCCACAGGGCCTTCCCCCTTGTCTGGGTCCCGATCTCTTCTTCTTTTTTTTTTTTTTTTTAATTTTTTTTTAATGTTTATTTATTTTTGAGACAGAGAAAGACAGAGCGTGAACAGGGGAGGGTCAGACAGAGGGAGACACAGAATCCGAAGCAGGCTCCAGGCTCTGAGCTGTCGGCACAGAGCCCGACGCGGGGCTCGAACTCACAGAGTGTGAGATCATGACCTGAGCCGAAGCCGGACGCTTAACCGACTGAGCCACCCAGGCGCCCCTCCCAATCTCTTCTAATAAAGATAGCAGCCACACTGGATTAGAGGCCACCTTAATGAGCTCATTTTAACTTAATTACTCTGTTAACCGTGGTCTCCAAATTTGGGCACATTCTGAGGTACCAGGGGTTAGGGCTTCACACGTGAATTTGGGAAAACCCAAATCAGTCCACAACGATATCTGGCCTTAAAGAGTCCCCTCAGGGGCACCTGGGTGGCTCAGTCGGTTCAGCATCCAACTCTTGGTTTCAGCTCAGATCATGATCTTACAGTTTGTGAGTTCAAGCCCCACATCGGGTTCTGTGCTACTGGTGGGAAGCCTGCTTGGGATTCTCTCTCTCTCCCTCTCTCTCTGCCCCTTCCCCACATGAACTCTCTCTAAAAATAAATAAACTTTAAAAAATAAATAAAGAGTCCCCTTAAAGTCTCTTGACTCCTTTTCTGAAATATTGACCCTGAATCCACTTCAAATTTACTGTAACGGGTTTCTTTGAGGCAGAATTTTCTAGTCTGAATGGCACCCCTCCCCACCTCCCCAGCCTCCCAAAAACATTAGGCAGGACACAGTATGTTTAAACTTGGAGGGCAACCTGCCTGCAACTTGTGAGTTTGTTTGCTTGAACAACTGGGTTCCATGCGGGGTACCCTGAACTATCCCACGGGACAACTGTCTGGATTGGGCCTCTCTGGTGACAGGCACACTAGGATTTCTGAGGAGCTGTGGGCCCAGGCAGAGAGCTGCCTCCTGCTAGCAGCTGACCAGAAACGAGAGCAATTGAGAATTAAAGGGAAAAATTGCCCCAGCACCGAAATAAAAGCAAAGGCCCTTGCTTCCTCCCTTGGTTGCATCCTGGGGATCACAGAGATCTCTACGGCAGCTAGCCCAGCTCTCTGATTGAGGCCATCCCTCAGGCTTTAGCTGTGAGGGGTGCCTGGGCTGCATACCTTTGTAAAAGAACAGCCCTGTGTCAGGTTTGGACTGTCACTGAGCACAGGCTGGAGGTATATGTGGAGTGCCATCACTCCAAGGCCCTATGGTAGGAGCAGCTCCCAGCTTTCAGCCTCTTCTCTGAGCTGTGTGACCACACCCTGATTCAGATAAACGGCCTCTCATCCCCCCGCACCCCACCCCATGCCTCGGCCCCACTACCCTGGTCACTGGGCTGGTTTCGGAGTCCAGAAAGCACGAGGTAATTTCTACACATACTCCATCCACTCAGTGGCCACCACGCCCAGGGGTGTCCTCTCCGCTGTTCAACCTGGAGACTTTAGGGCTGGACGGCAGTCCTGTGCAATGACCTTGAATCAGGGCCTCACAAAACAGTGTGCAGGCAGTCTCAGTAGTTCACAGACGCACCCTTAACTAACCCAAGAAGGCAACCTTCCCTGTGGAAGAAAGGAATACCATCTCCTTTTCTGGAAATCCTTAAAAATCGGCGAGAGGTTCATCTTGTTTGAGCTGGAGGACATGGGACTCCAGAGGGGACTGTCTCCTGGAGCCCGGCGTTCTCCTTGGATCTGCGCCCGGCCCCCTACCACTGGTCGAGCTCAGCAGGGACTCCTCCTCCGGACCTGGAACCGTGTCCCTCAGTTGTGATTGCTCTGGACACCGTGGCCTCTCCCCCACCCGGCTCCCGTGCTGTTGGGGTCTCGCTGGTCCAAGAACACTGACCGTGCGCTTTGCTTGCAGTGACCCGCTGGTGATACCACACTCTGCAGATCTCGTGCTCTGAGATGCTGATGCTCTGCCCACGCACGGGTTCCTGTGGGCCCCTGTAAGGGGGGAGATACATCAGTGGCTCAGAATCGACTCGACTCTCTAGACTCATCCACTGTGTCCTTTCCTCCTGGTTGCCATCACACTGGCTGACTGCACTGTCAGCAATCACCTTCCATTTGCCCACCTTGCATTCCACCTTGCATTTGCCCACCAGCCTTCTGCCCTCCCTTTTGACCCCCTAGTCTCTTCCTTACCCCCTTCCGTCTGGTTTCCGTGTACTGCAAGTCAGTTTCATTTTAGAAATGGCGAGTTAATTCCATGTGCCAGGTGCCCCGGGGGAACGAAAATGCACGGCCCTGGCTACAGAGAGATGAGATCCGTGGGGTGCACAGAAACAGCCACGCCACCAGGCAGAACATTCCAAGCCCTGCAAAAAGAGAAAGAGGAAGAAAGGAGAGGTAGTTGTTTGGGGGACACTCAGGAAATCGCCATGAAGGAGGCGGCATTTAAGATGAGCTTCAAGGACCAACGAGGTCTTTGACAGGCCAGGACGTGAGTCATTCCTACAAGCGGGGCAGGTGGGGGGCGGGGATGGGCAGGGGCAGCACAGAAAGTATCCAGGCTGCAGAAGAAGGGAGAGATTTGAGGGAGGAGGGGATGTGGGGGTCAGATGGAGAGGAATGTCGCCCTGGAGAGGCCGGCTGAGCCTGGTGAGCCACTGAGTGAATGAGCAGGACCCACTGGGAGGAGTATTCACAGGTCAGTAACTTCTCACCGACTAGGCTTTGTTCCAACCCGACTGCCTAGTAATCACAAAGGAATTGAGTCATACAACTGCGAGATCCCCAAGTTCTTTTATGTCAACCTTCTTGGTCCTGGGGCGTTCGTGAAAACTGAAAAAGTATAATTCAGGGGGCTCATAATGAGTCAGTGATTTCAGAATCTGCACGTGAGCAGGGTCAGGAGTCTTCCTTGTGAGTCTCCCCTAAGGAAAGTGTGAGCACCTGTCAGGTCATCCAAGCCTGGGGAGCGGACTGGGGTGCTGCCCTCCCCTCCCCCAGCCCCCCTCTGAAAGCCAGGGGCTGCTCCAGCAGCTGTGGTGGGGGGGGACCTCGGGCCCTCCCACCTCAACCCCCCTCCTCATTGGCTCTGACTTGGGGGAGAACCGGGTCATCACTTCACCATCCTGACACGGCTGCCAAGAAGGCTCTGTCCCCGGAGGACAGTTTTGGCTGTTCCTGGACGGCAAGCGCGGGTGAAATGGAAGGCGGTGGAGATGGCAAACAGTGCGTCAGGGGATAGCGATCAGGGCCATCCCCTGATAGCCCTGAGGAGGGTGGTCACCACAGGCTGCTGCTGAAATGTCACACTGCGCTGGCACACGCCGGTCCTCCTGTTTCAGTTACTAGATACTTTTTCCCTTATTTAAACATATCCAGTCGATGCCATCCTGCAGGTATCTCTTCACTGGGCAAGAAGACAAAAGCTATATGTTTTTAAAATACATTTAAATATGCTTTTCCCTCTGCAAACCAATGTGTATGGCTTTTTTTTCTTTTCTTCTCTTTTCTTTTCTTTTCTTTAAATGTTTATTTGTGTATTTTTTTTTCAACATTTATTTATTTTTGGGACAGAGAGAGACAGAGCATGAATGGGGGAGGGGCAGAGAGAGAGGGAGACACAGAATCGGAAACAGGCTCCAGGCTCTGAGCCATCAGCCCAGAGCCTGATGCGGGGCTCGAACTCACGGACCGCGAGATCGTGACCTGGCTGAAGTCGGACGCTTAACCGACTGCGCCACCCAGGCGCCCCTATTTTGAGAGAAAGAGTTAGAGAGCAACCACGGGAGGGGCAGAGAGAGAGAGGGAGAGAGAGAGAGAATCCCAAGTAGGCTCCATCTGTCAGCACAGATCCCCATGCGGGGCTTGAACTCATAAACCATGAGATCATGCCCCGAGCTGAAACCAAGAGTCGAACATTTAACCGACTGAGCCACCCAAGTGTCCCTATGGTTTTTTTTTTTTTCAATTAATTATCTGAAATCTACTTTGCCAAAAATCATAGCCTGTCATCTTATAGCCTTGTTTTAATAATACACTGCTTTTAGGGACGCCTGGGTGGCTCAGTTGGTTGAGAGTCCAACTCTTGATTTCAGCTCAGGTCATAATCTCATGGTTCGTGGGGTTGAGCCCTGCATAGGGCTCTGTGCTGACAGCTCAGAGCCTGGAGCCCGCTTCAGATTCTGTGTCTCCATCTCTGTCTGCCCCTCCCCTGCTTGTGCTCTCTCTCGCTCTCTCTTGCTCTCACTCTCTCTCAAATATAAATAAACATTTAAAAAATTTTTAATAATAATAATGCACTGCTTTTATAGCAACTCTACCTGTCAGGCAGTGTCCCTGAATTGGCAAAGGTTTTTCTTGTTTTTTGAAGAAAGCTACAGGTTGGGGATCAGGAACCATGTCCTTCTTCTGGTTCTCTTGGAGCTTCAGTTTCTCCATCATCTACTTAATGAATTAGTGTTGGAAAAACATTCTGAGACAGAGGCATGAAAACCACTATAGGGCCAGAGGTACGGAAGTAGCTCATCTTAAGCAAAAGAAGCATTCCTGTGTGCAACATAGGCTTTTTTTTTAAACATTTATTTTTGAGAGACAGAACATGAGTGGGGGAGGGGCACAGAGCGAGAGGGAGAGGGAGGGAGGGAGGGGGAGAGAGAGAGAGAGAGAGAGAGAGAGAGAGAGAGAGAGAGAGAATCCAAAGCAGGCTCCAGGCTCTGAGCTGTCAGCACAGAGCCTGAAGTGGGGCTTGAACCCAAGAACCGGGAGATCATGACCTAAGTCAAGTCAGATGCTCAACTGACTGAGCCACCCAGGTGCCCCAAAAACAGTCTAGTTGCTTAGAGATACATTAAATTGAAAAAAAAATCTTGACCACGTCATCAACATTCCTTGAGTAAATGTAGCTAGTGTTTTGTAAGGATATTCTTTTAATGTCCCTTGACCTTGGGCAAAGACTCTCATGCATATGAATCACCAGGGGACTTCCTCCTCACCCAAAACTTGGACCTTATGAGGCTTTGCTCTTCAAAGTGTGGTCTTTATGACAGCATCATTGGCATGCCTTAGGAGCTTATTAGAAATGCAGGATCTCAAGCCTTACTCCAGAATGCATCAGGACCTTATTTTAACAAGATTCTCAGGTGATTTGTATGCATATTAAAGTTGAGAAATATGGCTTTAAGTGCAGAATATTTGAAGTCTTTTTTTTTAAATTTAATTTATTTTTTTTTTAATTTACATCCAAGATAGCATATAGTGCAACAATGATTTCAGGAGTAGATTCCTTAACGCCCCTTACCTATCTAGCCCATCCCCCCTCCCACAAACCCTCCAGCAACCCTCTGTTTGTTCTCCATATTTTAGAGTCTCTTATGTTTTGTCCCCCTCCCTGTTTTTATATTATTTTTGCTTCCCTTCCCTTGTATTCATCTGTTCTGTGTCTTAAAGTCCTCCTTGGGGCGCCTGGGTGGCTCAGTCGGTTGAGCATCCGGCTTCAGCTCAGGTCATGATCTCACGGTTTGTGAGTTCGAGCCCTGCATCAGGCTCTGTGCTGACAGCTCAGAGCCTGGAGCCTGCTTCGGATTCTGTATCTCCATCTCTCTGCCCCTCCCCAACTCACGCTCTGTCTCTCTCTCTCAAAAATAAATAAACATTAAAAAAAAAATTTTTTTAAGTCCTCATATGAGTGAAGTCATATGATATTTGTCTTTCTCTGACTGATTTCGCTTAGTATGATGCCCTCTAGTTCCATCCACGTAGTTGCAAATGGCAAGATTTCATTCTTTTTGATTGCCAAGTAATACTACATTGTGTGTGTGTGTGTGTGTGTGTGTGTGTATATATATATATATATATATATATATATATATATATATATCACATGTTCTTTATCCATTCATCCATCGATGGACATTGGGTGCTTTCCATACTTTGGCTATTGTTGATAGTACTGCTATAAACATGGGGGTGTACGTGTCCCTTCAAAAACAGCACACCTGTATCCCTTGGATAAATACCTAGTAGTGTGATTTCTGGGTCATAAGGTAGTTCTGTTTTTAATTTTTTGAGGAACCTCCATACTGTTTTCCAGAGTGGCTGCACCAGCTTGCATTCCCACCAGCAGTGCAAAAGAGATCCTCTTTCTCTGCATCCTCGCCAACATCTGTTGTTGACTGAGTTGTTAATGTGAGCCATTCCGACAGGTGTAAAGTGGTATCTCATTGTGGTTTTGATTTGTATTTCCATGATGATGAGTGATGTGGAGCAGTTTTTCATGTGTCTGTTGGCCATCTGGATGTCTTCTTTGGAGAAGTGTCTATTCATGTCTTTTGCCCATTTCTTCACTGGATTATTTGTTTTTTGGGTGTTGAGTTTGATAAGTTCCTTATAGATTTTGGATACTAACCCTTTATCTGATATGTCGTTTGCAAATATCTTCTCCCATTCTGTCAGTTGCCTTTTAGTTTTGCTGATTGTTTCCTTCGCTGTGGAGAATCTTTTTATGTTGATGAGGTCCCAATATTTCATTTTTGCTTTTGTTTCCCTTGCCTCTGGAGACGTGTTGAGTAAGGAGTTGCTGCAGCCAAGGTCAAAGAGGTTTTTGCCTGCTTTCTCCTCAAGGATTTTGATGGCTTTCTGTCTTACATTTAGGTTTTTAATCCATTTTGAGTTTATTTTTTTGTATCTGGTGTAAGAAAGTGGTCCAGGTTCATTTTTCTGCATGTCGCTGTACAGTTTTCCCAGCACCACTTGTTGAAGAGACTGTCTTTATTCCATTGGATATTCTTTCCTGCTTTGTCAAAGATTAGTTGGTCATACATTTGTGGGTCTATTTCTGGGTTCTCTATTCTGTTCCATTGATCCGAGTGTCTGTTTTTGTGCCAACAACCTGGACATTCTTAATGCACCAAAGGCCCTCACAACTTAAAGATACCTTGTAGTAAATATACTGATAAAATAAAAAATTATTTGGCCTTCTTAGAAATGTTTCAAACATTTGAAATTTCTTAACACTTTTTTTTAACAGAGTGGAAGTTAGAATGGCTTATTCTTGATCATGTCTTCCCACTTCTTAAATTAGATGACTCCTTCCTTACTAGTATATCCTAGTTAGCTCGAGTCAGATTTTAATTGCTTAAACTATTCAGTTTATGAATCTACCGGGTCTGTTCCTCTTCCCAGGAGAGGAAGGGGAAGGGAAAGTCAATGAAAATTAAATGACCTAATTTTGTTCTTCTTCCTAAACTTGGGAAATGAGCTGATGAAAGACAAAACTCAAGCCTATCAGGGACTTGTTGGTATAGTTGTGCCCCTTATCCATGGGAACACATTCCAAGCCCCCCACTGGGTGCCTGAAATCAGAGATGGT